GTCCATTGGAGGCTGTCCATAGAAGGAATCACCGGCCACTTCCCAAATGTCAGGAGACTTGCCTATGGCTCCACCCAGAATAATAGAATAGCCTCTCTATGATGCTCACCTGGCCTCTTTCAGATGGATGGTACTCTGCCCCCAGCAGGTTCTCTCCCTTCCAGCACCAAACCACAGCAGGAACAGATTCCTCCCCAGAGGAAATTCTCAGGCAGGCTGGATGTAAACAACAGCCGGGTGAGGGGGTGGAACATGGGGAGGGAGGAGAGGCTCCCAGAGGGGGTTACTAGGGAGGTGGGGAAGCTGCTGGAAAGGGAACCAGCAAAGTAGGCACCTGAGGGCTCCAGAAAACCTGTCGATGTTTATTTCACACACACACACACGCACACACACCCTAAAGACAGTTTAAACCAGATTGAAAATGAAAAGCTAAAATTTTGACCTTATAGTGCTGATGAGTCAATGGGTTGGAAGGCAGGAGAAACTAATAGGTACTCCTGGTAGCAAGGATCAAAACCAGAAATTGGTGGTCAGACGGTGGAGTAATGAGTGAATTCTAATCTCCAGTCTACCAGAGGAGTCAGATCTGGATTTAGAAAATAGAAAAAAAGTACTCCATTCTTACTCTACCCTAAGCCTGAGCTAAGGGTCCTAATGATGAGGCAGAGTGCCAGCATGGGCAGGGGAAACAAATTTCAAGCCCAGCTCAACCCCAGGTCCAAAGAAAGCAGAACTGGTTCCACTTACATCTGAGAGTTAATCTGTTTTTCAGAAGCCTTGAGAGCCATTGACCCTCAAGGTGTTGGCATCAGCCTAAGGCTTGCTCCAACAGCTCCTGAAAATTAGTCAGTAACCACAATTTATAATCTAAATTGGAAATGTGAGGGGTATCCAGGGAGCCCACCCTGGAAATCCCTACATTCCTGAAGGCTTCTCCCTGTGCCCACCCATCCCTCCCCAAATAAGATTATCCCTGGCTTGCCCCTTCTGGCCCCTGCTGTCCAGTTCCAATGAAGTACGGCCTTTACCGAGAGAACTCTGTATCTGTGTTGTTCTCCAACTTTGGGGACAGCCCCCTCTCCCCTCACTCCCCCTCCATCCCAGAAGCGTCATGGGTAAGGGCAGTCAGTGGCTGCTCAGGTATGCACGGCCTCAGGAGATAGTGGAGAATTCTTTGAGCAGGACTTCCTGGCTGAGTGTGTGGAAGGCCAGGTTTCTCCTGACGTTGGTGCTAATGGATCGAACCTGGGAAAGGGTGGGGGAAAGTAGGAGGGCACAAGCAAAGAGAAAAGAGAGAGTTGGTTACAAACAGTAGAGGGCAGTGCCTGAGGCACAAGGCCAAAAGCTGTGCTAGAAATTTCTCTCTTAAGAAACAAACCCTTAACAGCTATCATTCCTGCAGGCAAATGAGCGAACAGTTCCGAGATAGTGGGAAGAAGAGAGGCTGAGAGACAGAAACTCTAGTGGATATGAGAAGAGCTTCTCCCCCTGAAGGGGCAGAAGCAAGCATAGGCAGGGAAGGAGAGCAGGGCAGGCCTTGGTCCTTGCCTCAGCCATGCAGAACAGCACTGGTCTGCTCAGTGGTCTGATGGAGGAGGAGAAACTGATGCTAGCAGACTCACGCTCTGGAGCTACCTTCTTTTGGATGTGTTTCTAGTCTCCTCATTCTCCCTTTGTATTTATCTACTTTTGCGGGGGTTGGAAAGAACGCTTAGATGCAGCCCTTGTCTGGCATAGAGGGCAAGAGTATGATCCAAGGAGGCCAATGACCAGGATCAGGTCATACAGCTAGTGAGTCCCAGGGTTGAGGCAGGACCCCAGT